GATGAGGAGGAGGAGGAGGAGGAGGAGGAGGAGGAGGAGGAGGAGGAGGAGGATCCAGGCACGTGTGTCTACAGTCGCTCGGAGCCTCGTCAAAACAGGGGGTGCGAAGCCCCTGGGGGACCCCTCCTGGAAAACCCCCTCCCCCAAAACCCGCTTTGGAACCCTCCGGCCGCCCGATGTTAGCCTCGTCCTGGCTTCGTGTTGCCGCGGCGGAAACCGTCCCCTCCGTGTGGTGTGCACGGATGGGTGTGGCCGCGATGCCGCCCCGCGTGCATCGCCAGGCTGCTTATGCGCAGGCTGGTCGCGCCGGCCACTCCAGTCGAAGTTCTTCGCGCTCCGCCCTCTTCCCGCCCTCCGCGGCCGCTCTCCGCCTTGGCCCCGCCTCTTGCCGCCGGGCCGTTCGCGCGTGCCGGACCCCGGCTCCAGAAGCGAGCTTCCGGCTCGATGCTGCCGCGCTGCGACGAAAGAACAATGGTACCCTTAAAGGTTTCCACAGGCCCGAGATTAGGAAGGATAGCCTCTGCTGCCCTGAATTCGGCGTCGAGGGCCTCCTTGAAAGACGAGCGCCACACGGTCTTGCAGCGTCACGCAGGCAGCCACGCCGTCGAAGAGGAGCTGCCGTCCATGCCTCCGGCTTGGGAGCTCGATCGGGCTGCCGCGCTCGGCGTTCGGGGCGGGGGGGGGGGTCGGACGGGGCCAGGACGAGGCCAAATCCGTTCCAGAGCGCGCCACGAGGCTCTCGGAGCGTCCCGGGACGCTCTGCGAAGGCCGCGGCGCCCGAGACATCCTCCAGAGCCGCCGTATCTCCGAAGCTCGCGATGTATCCTCGCCCAATGTCGTCCTCGCCCTGGCTTCGTCGCAGGGGGGGGTGGGGGGGACGGCGAGCCCCCTGGGGGGAGGGGGGGGGGGCCGCATGCCCTCGTGCGCCCCCAGGCGCGTGCCCCCTGGGCGCGGCCGCCGACGCCAGCTCAATCCCTTGGGATCGCTCGGGCGTGTGCGTATGCCCCCGGCGAGGGCCATTTAGGAGCGTCTCGGGTCCTCTTGCGAAAGAGCACGCGCGAAATCGGGAAGAATGCACAGGGAATGGCCGTCCAAGCGATGGCGGGATCCCGCGCGTACAGTTTCGGGGGCGTCCTAGAAACGTGGGAGGAAAAGGTACCCATGCCGCTACCCTTCCCCCGTTTTCCCCTTTTTGGGCCTCCTGGGGGGCATTCGTCGCCACCGCTGGATTCGCTTCGAAACCCGATTCAAAAAGCACCCCAGGAGAGGTCCAGGGATGTAGCGGTGTTGGTACTTGTTGGTTTCCCCAAAGAATGGGGTGAGGATTTGGGGGCTATGGATCTCAGGAGGTCTCAGACAGATGTCGTGCCCCCCGCTGCTTATCCTTCTTCTCCTGCTACTCTGTCTATTGTAATGTCTTTCATGTTTCGTGTTATGCATTGGGGGAGTAGTGTGTTTATGACTGGTAACTTCTTTTCATTATCAGTGTGCGCGGCATTATTGTTATTGCTTGTGTGGTTCGTACCATTCGAATTGCTATCATCATGCAGTATTATCTTAACTTGTTACTGATATGTCTCGGGTTCTTCTGGGAATAGTCCAGCAGTTCTCCCGGCCCCCAGTCGTTCGCGCACGCGCCTTGGGCCATGGTGCGCACTCGCCTCTTTCTGGCCTCCCTTCTCCCGTGCCCCCGTCGCCTTGAGGACGGCGCCCTCGGTGCCCCCGATGTCTCCGAGCCACCCGCGAGGGGCGCGAAGATCACCGAGCTGCGCGCCCCTCGCGGCCTGGGCTGGAGCGCTGCCCTGAGCCAGGGGGCGGCGCGAGGGTGCGAAGATCCTGGGCGGGGATCTATACGCAGCCACCGCCTGGAAGGTCGATTTTGGAGACATCGACAGGCAGTGCATCTGGATACATATTTATGCACATACATATATATATATATATATATACATACATATATATATATATATATATATATATATGTATATGTATATACGAAGATGTATACGGGTACACGTGTGTGTATATATCTATATACAGAGAGAGAGAGAGATGGGGCCCCAGGGGCCAACATGTACCCATGTCCGCCGCCCGCTGGGGAACCAGGGCGTCGGTTCCCAGGCGGTGCTCCTGTTCCTCCTCCTCCTCCTCTTCCTCCTCCGCTCCTACCCCCTTCCTCCACCTCCTTTCCCTCCTCCTCCTCCCCTCTCCTCTCCTCCTTACCTCCTACCTCCTCTCTCCGTCCTCCCTCCTCCCTCCTCCTCCTCCCGCCTCCCTCCTCCTCCTCTTCCTCCGCCTCCTCCTCCTCCTCCCTCTCTTCTCCTCCACCCTCCTCCCTCCCTCCTCCATCCTTCCCCTCTACTCCCTCCTACTCCTCCTCCCTCCTCCCCTCCTCCTCCTCTCTCCCTCCTCCTCCTCCTCCTTTCTCCGTTTCCTCCTCCTTCTTCCTCCTCCCTCTCCTCCTCCTCCCCTCCTCCTCTCCTCTCCCCTCCTCCTCCTCCTCCTCCTCCTCCCTCCTCCTCTTCTCTCCGTTTCCTCCTCCTCCTCCTCCTCCCCCTCCTCCTCCTCCTCCTCCTCCTCCTCCTCCTCCTCGGCACCAGGCGCAATCCCCGCCTCGCAGAAGAGAAGCTCCCCGCCGCGCACCGCGACGGCGCGAGGCGCGCAGTGCGGCGGCCCGGGACCGGGCCCCGGTGGCTTCCTGGCCCTCGCTCGGGGCCTCCGCTGGCCGCTCGGGACGACTCCCTCCGGCACCTCCGGAGCGCTCCTCGGCGGGGCGCCGCCACGGGCGAGCAGCCCGCGGCTGAACGACCGCCCCAGAGCCGAGGAAAGCGCCCTCGAGCCTCGAGCCTCGAACCTCGTGCGCGAACCTCGAGCCCCGAACCCCCTCGACCTCGAGCCTCGAGCCTCGACCTCGAACGCACCCTCGAAGCTCGGGCCTCGACCTCGAGCCTCGAACCGCCTCGGCCTGGGCAGGGTTTTCCCCTGAGGACGGCGTCCTCTTCGGCGCGGCGTTCGACGTCGAGCTGCTCGTCCTCCTGACCTTCGCTGCTTCCTACGCCGCCTGGACCCAGCTGTGGCAGCTGGGGGCAACGTCACGTTTGGGGGGATGTGCTCAGGGGGGTGGAGGAGGAGGAGGAGGAGGAGGAGGAGGAGGAGGAGGAAGAGGAGGAGGAGGAGGAGGAGGAGGAGGAGGAGACGGAGGAGGAGGAGACGGAGGAGGAGGAGGGAGGGAGGGAGGGAGGGAGGGAGGGAGGGAGGGAGGGAGGAGGAGGAGGAGGAGGAGGAAGAGGAAGAAGAAGACGACTAATCATAATGATAAGGAAACTAGTAATAGAAGGGTAATAAGATGAATCATAAGAAGAAACAATAATAATATGAACAAGAAGAAGAAGAAGCATATGACAAATAATAATACTACGAATGAGAAGAAGAGGAGGAGGAGGAGGAGGTCCCCAGTCGCCCACTGACCGCCGATAGGGGCCCGATCGTCGAGGGCGCGCAAGCACGGATCAGGGGGCGTGGATCTGCGACGGGTCCCGTTTGCATGCCACACCGTCGCGCTCCGTCGCCAAGTCAGGTGGCTTTGGCCACGTGTTTCGGGGGGGGGGGGGTGCTCTCCCCGATGCGTGGACCTGGCACCCGCGCACCAGATCCACGAGTCCGTGATCCGTGGTCGCGAGTGCCCGAGGTGGCCCGCGCCGCCCAGGAGCCCCGCGGTCTCGCCAACGCGTGGCCTCGCTGTGCCGGGAGCATCTCGAGGGGGGCAGAGTCGGGGGGGGTGATAGGCTCGGGGGGGGGGGCGTCGACCCCCAAGCGCCCACTCATCGCCGATCGCGGCCCGAACAAGGGCTCCCTCGAGGGCGCGAAGTTATTCGCGCTTCGCGGTCCTCGTTCCTTCTCCCCCTCCTCCTCGTCCTCCTATTCTCCCTCTGGGGGGGCGGCGCGAGAGCGCGAAGTTATTCGCGCTTCGCGCTTCGCGGAGCGCGAAGCGCGAAGTTGGGAGCCCTAGCCGAACGTGCGGTCACGCTATGTTTAAGTCGGGCCTACCCCTCTGCAGGAAGAAGATTCCAAAGTAGTCGACAAATAGTCTGGGGGCGATTTCTTGGCTACTCTTGAGCATCTTTGGAGCATTGTTTGACCATGTTTCGTTTTTCGCCCCGAATCCCCCTGCAGGGGGACAGGCCCTACCTAACGTAATGTCGGAGACATGTCGCCACCCTGTCCTGCGAGGTGTCGCGCCGACTCCAGACCGACGTATATCCCTCCCGAACTAGTCTGCCCGCGAGCAGAGGGCGCGGGCAAGATTTGTATGTCCATATCCCCTGCGTTTCGCATTTCCGACCTTTTCTCGGTGGCAGCCCGAGGCGCAGCTGTTCCTGCCTGTGGCGAGGTCCGATGTTGATTCATATCCGCGACGTCTCTGGGCGTTGGCCATCCCTTCTCCAGAGATGCCAGACGCCATGGGTGGGGGAACAGACACGTGGTACACATACAGTCGGCCCGGATTAGGAGGTTGACCCTGCCAAATCAAGGGTACCCTTGTGTCTTGTGTCTCGCGACCCATTTCTCCTACATTCCTATGGCAATGTGGCCCTCGGAAGGGTCTTGTGTTCTCTCGCATGTGCTGCCCAACCAAGTCCGACTGTACTCTTTGGCTCGTGCCCGAGGGAGGGCGAGGACCAGGAGAGAAGTGGGGTGAGGAGGGGCGGTTCTCGGGGCCATCCTGGTGTTCTCCTTCGGCCAACTGAGGCCATCATGAGGAGACGGGGGTAGGGTTGGCCCAGGGGGCGACGAGTGAACGAATCAACTACGGCGAAACGAGTTGGCTCCGAGCTCTAGCACACAGCTGTGCAAGAGCACAGCGAGGTCCAAGAACGCCGCTGTGCAAGAGAGAGGGGCGCTGGGACGTTTCCCCGGAGGCCCCCAGAGACGTCTCTGGAGAGGTTTCTCTTCTCCGCAGGCCCTCATGGATGCACGAATGAACGAACGAACGCACGAAAATGAGGGCTTCCGAGCTTTAGAACACACCTGTGCAAGAGGATACCCCCCTGAGCCAGCCCACCCCCTTGTACTCTAGGCCTCCCGAACTGGGTCCGAGTAGATGATTGGGTCGGAGGACCGCGCCGCATCGTCGATGCATCGGCGATGCGGCTCGAGGGGGGATCCTCATTCTCTCCACGCCGACGTCGCCGATGCACCGCTGACGTCGCCGACGCATGACGCATCGCCGATGCATCGGCGATGCACTGGCAAATGTGGCGCGATCCTCCCATCCCATGTATTCGAACCCCATCTAGGAGTCCTCTGATGTCCTGCTGAGCTGGCCCCCCGCGAGACCGCGTGAGTTTGGGCTTTACCTTTGCCCCCCCCCTCCTAACGTGGCCCCCTCAGAAGACCCCCCTCAGAAGCCCTCCCAGAGCGCCGAGGACGCACGAGCGAACCAACGAGAATGAGGGGCTCCGAGCTTTAGAACGCAGCTGTGCAAGAGACTATCCCCCCGAGCCGCCCCCCCCTGTACCCCAGGCCTCGCGAATGGGGCACGAGTGGATGATGGGGTCGGAGGATCGCGCCGCATTGTCGATGCATCGGCGATGCGGCTCGAGGGTGGGCCCCGAGTTTCTCCACGCCGACGTCGCCGATGCCCCCGCCGACGTCGCCGGCGCAGCGCCGGCCCTAAAGTTGCCCCCCCCCTCAGGCAGAAGCGGGGGGCGCGCCTAGGGGGCGCCGCCGCCAAGCTGAAGGCCCTGGAGCGGGAGGCTCAGGACGGACGCCCGGGCGGCTCGAGCAGAGATCCTCCAGTGCAGTCGCGGGGGGGGCCTATTGGGGGGATCGTTCCTCTTTTTGTCCCCCTCCTCCCTGCCCCCTCCCTCCCTCCCTCCCTCCCTCTCCCCTCTCCTACCCCCTCCTCCTTATCCCTCCCTCCTTCCTCCGCTTTCCCTCCCTCCCTCCCTCCCTCCCTCCCTCCTCCCTCCCTCCCTCCTCATCCGTCCTCCACACTACACCTCCCACCATGGCTACCAGCGAGTTCCTCCCTCCTCCATTCCTTTGCCTTACATGATTTCTCCCTGTCGCATCCCGAGGCCAGCTGTCAGGGCGGACCGGGCGTTTCGCCAGAGACTTCCTCACACCAATTATGACCCTGAAGCTTAAGAAATATCAGCAGCTTCCTGGATTGAGAACGGGTGGTTTTCAAAATGTGGTTCTCGCCTTAGCGCCGCGCGCACTCGTTTAAAATATTCGCAAGAGTTTGACGGATTGCGGGCGGGTGGTTCTCAAAATGTTGTTCTGGCCTTAGCGTCGCGCACCTTCGTTTTTGAATTACCCTGTGACGTACCCAACCCTTTCTATACATGTGGCGATTATATTCAGGACCACTCAATGCTGACTGGCATTCTGAAGGACCCGCAGTGCGCAGTAGAGCACCCAACAATGCTTTCAGAAGAGCGCAGCAATATGTCCCGTGGTGATCCGCGTATGACGTACTTCCGCTGGGCCTCCCAGGAGCCCACGAAAGTGGCGACAGTTGCGCAGATCGCAGCCCCCCACGGGCGGCGAGGTCCCGTGATGATCCGCGTGAGACGTACCTCCGCTGGGCCTCCCAGGAGCCCACGAAAGTGGCGACAATTGCGCAGATCGCAAGCCCCCCACGGGCGGCGAGGTACCGAGGTGATCCGCGTGGGACCCACCTCCGCTGGACCTCCCAGGAGCCCACGAAAGTGGCAACAGTTGCGCAGATCGCAAGTTCCCTAGGGGGCGGCGAGGTACCGAGGTGATCCGCGTGGGACCCACCTCCGCTGGGCCTTCCAGGAGCCCACGAAAGTGGCGACAATTGCACAGATCGCAAGCCCCCCACGGGCGGCGAGGTCCCGTGGTGATCCGCGTATGACTTACGACGGTTGCGCAGATCGCAGCCCCCCAGGGGCGGCGAGGTCCCGTGGTGATCCGCGTATGACGTACCTCCGTTGAGCGTCCCAGGAGCCAACGAAAGTGGCGAACATTGCGCAGATCGCAATCCCCCCAGGGGGCCGCGAGGTACAGAGGTAATCCGCGTGGGACGTACCTCCGCTGGGCCTCCCAGGAGCCACAGAGAGTGGCGACATTTGCGCAGATCGCAAGACCCCCAAAGGGGCGGCGAGGTATCGAGGTGATCCGCGTGGGACCCACCTCAGCTGGGCCTTCCAGGAGCCCACGAAAGTGGCGACAATTGCGCAGATCGCAAGCCCCAGTGGGCGGCGAGGTACCGAGGTGATCCGCGTGGGACCCACCTCCGCTGGGCCTCCCAGGAGCCCACGAAAGTGGCTACAGTTGCCAAGATCGCAAGCCCCCCAGGGGGCGGCGAGGTACCGAGGTGATCCGCGTGGGACCCACCTCCGCTGGGCCTCCCAGGAGCCTACGAAAGTGGCGACAGTTGCGCAGATCGCAAGTTCCCCAGGGGGCGGCGAGGTACCGAGGTGATCCGCGTGGGACCCACCTCCGCTGGACCTCCCAGGAGCCCACGAAAATAGCGACAATTGCGCAGATCGCAGGTCCCCCAGGGTGCTGCGAGGTACCGAGGTGATCCGCGTGGGACCCACCTCCGCTGGGCCTCCCAGGAGCCCACGAAAGTGGCGACAATTGCGCAGATCGCAAGCCAGGTGATCCGCGTGGGACCCACCTCCGCTGGGCCTCCCAGGAGCCCACGAAAGTGGCGACGGTTGCGCAGATCACAAGCCCCCCAGAGGATGGCGAGGTACCGAGGTGATCCGCGTGGGACCCACCTCCGCTAGGCCTCCCAGGAGCCCACGAAAGTGGCGGCGCTTGCGCAGATCGCAGCCCGACGGCACGAGGGAAGAGGAGAGGGGAACACCGGAAACAGGAGAGAAGGAGAGGGGAGGAAAAGGAAGGAAGGAAGGAAGGAAGGACGGGGCGAGCACACTGCTCTATTCAAAACGAATACCCAACACAGGATGATTGGGAAACATTGCAAGAGATTTACTGGTTGAGGGCGTGTGGTTTTCAAAATGTCGATCTCGCATTAGCGCCGCGCATCTTCGTCCTACAAGTTTGCAAGAGTTTCAAGGGCTGAGGCCGGGTGGTTTTCAACATGTGGCTCTCGCCTTAGCGCCGCGCAGCTTCGTCCTAAGAGTTTGCAAGGGTTTCACGGATTGAAGCTGGGTGGTTTTCAAAATGTGGTGTTCGTTTTAGCGCCGCGCACATTCGTCTTCAACATTTGGTGGTTTTCAAAATGTGGTTTTCAAAATGTGGCTCTCGCCTTAGCGCCGCGCAGCTTCGTCCTAGAACTTCGCAAGAGCTTCACGGGTTCAGGGCGGGTGGTTTTCAAAATGTGGTTCTCGCCTCATCGCCGCGCAGCTTCGTCCTAAAAGTTTGCAAGAGTTTCACGGATTGAGGCCGGTTGGCTTTTTTTTTAATGTGGTTCTCGCCTTAGCGCCGCGCAGCTTCGTCCTAAAAGTTTGCAAGATCTTCACTGACTGAGGGCGGCTCCTTTTCATAATGTGACTCTCGCCTTAGTGCCGCGCACCTTCGTTGATTTTGCTGGTTATTGTACATGCAAGAGTATCACGGGTTCCCATGCTCAACGCACCAGGAATGGTGCTTTGAAAGGGTTCAAGGTTATGAGGGTGCCACAGTTAAACTGGTTCGCGGAGTTGAAGTCCCAGGAATGGCGTTGCAGCACGATTCAGGATCGGCAAGACGCAACATTCAGGTTGATCCGTGGCGTAGAAATCCCGAGAACAATGTTTTGGCATGCTTGAGGATTTTCAAACGGTTGTCTTCCAAGAGGGCAGTTCCCTCAGTGGACATGAACCGTTGTAGGGGCCTTTGACGATGGAGCTTGCAGGGAGGGTTTATTCCAACATCGTTGATGACTCTTGGGTTCACGCTGGTCCTCCTCCTCCTCCTCCCTCTCCTCCTCCTCCTCCTCCTCCTCCTCCTCATCCTCCTCCTGCCCCTCCTCCTCCTCCTCCTCCTCCTGCCCCTCCTCCTCCTCCTCCTCCTCCTCCTCCTCCTCCTCCTCCTCCTCCTCTCCGTAGCCATGTTGGCTCAAGGCTATGAACCGTTCCGACGACCGCGAGTCCCACGGGGCGGCTTCTGAGCGCGAGGGGGTTCGCGTTTTGAGGCCAAATACTTTCCAAGTGATTGAGTGTGCAGTGGCGCGCGCGTGGGCGGCATGGCGCCTCCTCCTCGTGGCGGCGGCGGCAACCCGCGCGGCGGCGGCGGCGGCGCTCCCGGCAGCTCCCAGGCGGGCTCTGGCTGGCGCTGCCCCTCGTGCGGCTACAAGAACCTCGGGTGGAGGACGCAGTGTCGGCAGCCCGACTGCTGCGCGTACCGCCCGACCTCCAGTGGTGCCCCTCGTCTTCGTGATGCTGGTGATGGCGGCTGGCCTCGTCTCGGTCGCTGGGCCGAGGGACCGCCCAGGGCTCCGTGGCGCAACGCCGAGCAGGCGGTTGGAGGCGGCAGGGGACAGCAGCCTCCCAAGCCGAAGCGGCTCACCGACGAGAAACGCGCCTACTTCGTGGCCTGCCCCGTCGACCAGCTCGACGCCTGCAAAGAGCTCATCGCGGAGGCGGACTGGCAGGCCATTCGCCAGCAGCGCTTCCTCCTCCAGCAGCAGCTGGGCTCGCTGTCGGCGGTCAAGCCTGTCAGGAGCGCGCAGGTGGCGGCCGACGAGGCCTCCAAGCGCCTCCTGCGGGCCCGCGGCGAGCTGGAGCGCAAGAGGCAGGCGGCCCAGGCAGCGCTGCAGGCGGCCTTCGACCAGGAGAAGCAGGCCGCGAAGCTGCAGGTGGAGATGGACGAGCTCGTCGAGAAGGCCAGGCGCGTCGTGGCTGAGCCGCCTGCTGCTGCGGCGCCGCGCGCCGAGGACCGCTACGTCGCCGACGTCACCAAGTACAGGGACTTGGTGGGCACCGTCTCGGGCGCCCTCGGCGGCGTCGAGCTTGGCGAGCTGGCTGGCCCGCTCAACTCGCTCCTCGCCGCGCTCCAGCAGGACGCGGCCGCCTGCGAGGCTTCGGGCGCCCCGCCAGCCGCCGCTGCGCCCCCCCCCTGCCGTCGCTGCGGCAGGCGCTCAGCCTGGGGCAGCGGTTCCTGCAGCGGATCTGGGAGGCGGGCGCAAAGCTGCTGGCGACGACGACGCGGACATGGAAAGCCTCAACCTGCCCCCTGAGGCCTTCGCGGCGCAGGTCGAGGCCTTCTGCGACGGTGACGCCGAGAAGAGGAAGTGGCTCGAGGACTTCCGCGACCGCTGCTACGCGGACAAGAAGCAGAAGCTGGGGTAGTAGCAGGTGGCGGCTGGCGACGCTCAACATGAACGCCTTCAGCAACCTGGACAGGTGCCTCACGGAGCAAACCAGCGGGTGCAACGTTCTGCTCTTTCAGGAGACCCGCCTCAGCGGGGCGCGCACGACGGATGCTGAAGGGGAGCTTCGTCGTCGGGGATGGCGCGCCGCGGGTGCTGAGGCCCAGGCGTCTCAGGCGGGGGGGCCTGGCGTCTGGGGGGCCCCTGGCGCGCTCGCGCCTTGAGCACGGGCTGGCGCCCATGATGGGCTACGAGACCCCTGTCGTTCGTCCTGGGCGAGCGCAGCTGCTTCACCACGCTGGGCTGACTCCTGGGGGAGTCGTTGTGGGGAACGTGTGCTTGGAGGGCGGCGTGGGGGTGAACGCCTTCAACTACGAGGCGCTGCGCGACTTGGCGTGCAGGCTGAAGCAGTACGGCAGGCCGCACGTGGTCGGCGGCGACTTCAACTGCACCAAGGCCGAGCTGGAG